TCCTTTCAACTCTCCCAAGAGTCAGGCTGGTCAGAGTGGAAAAATGGACAAGGAATGGGTCTGGTCTTGGATTCTGCTCTCACTGCTTTCCCAAGCTTACAAATTGCAAATCAGTTTACCTCTCCCAGTCTTGAGCTCTCAGACTAAAAAATGGGACAAAAGTCCTTTCTTCATCAATGCTTTTTGTGTAAGTGAGAGAAAATAAAGGGAACTTTACAAATGAAGACATCTAATTAAAAGGTTAATTAAGAGAAAAAATTAAGGGAACTTAATAAATAAAATGCACAGAAATAAAATGCATATGGAGTTTTCAATATAACAGAATGCTACACTGCCTCCCCACCCGTCATCATCAAGTAAACACACAAAGTACTAATAGAGTGATAGATTCTGGGAGATCATATATGTGTAAGAATTCCAGACATATTTCAATATCATTTTCATTTTTAAATAATTCTCTGGACTTAAGATTTGGTTATAACTTAGGATTTAACTTAACAAGAACATTTCTATTTTCCGCAGGTATCAATCTTTATGCATGATTCTTACCACAAATAGGTACAGTCTGCTTTACTTGGTGAACATTTTCTTTATGTCCTTGCTCCTCAGACTCCGATGGCAGCAAGGCTGACATTTCTGCACTGTTAACACAGTTCTCTACTGCAGACTTCAGGCACGATCGGTTAGGTTTGGATCCAATGGATCTTACTGTCTGTAAGGAAAAGGAGTTAATCTGTACATTTAAAAATTATAGGAATTGCATTTATTTCCTGTAGAATCTACATAGAAGAAATAATATTTGGACAAACAAAGAGTGAGGGAAAAAATAAACCCCAGAGGAAATGAGAAGGTTAAAAAGTTGGAAGAGAGGGAAATAATGGTAGAAAATTAGAAAGAATGGGAAGGAGCAATAAAATGTGACATAAAATAGAGGACAAACTAGTCTCCTAAAAGCATACATTAAAATGTGTTTATTTGCTACACTCTGTCTTTAGTAGGGAGGAGTTGAACTGAAAATCAATGTGTATGTCAGCAGTGAAGAATAAATTAAAAATAAAAGTATAACATTGCAGAATCTGTTCATTGTAAGGTATTTGGTGATGATCCAACTCCTTTTTGAAGGAAACCACAAAATGTATGCACATGTATTTGTCTTTAAGTTTTGTGAACATATTTAATGAAAGAATACTCAGAAATGTTAATTGTGTTGACATGATGAAAATTAAACAATTTGAAGTCTTTTAAAATCCAGAATTCACGCTCCAAATTTATTCAAGTCTTCTGCTTTTGGTAGGTAGTCTTCCTCCCCTCTTCCCCACCCTGCACTGGGAAAAATCCCTGCCCTTTCCATGCTACTCCCGCTCGCGTGCGCACCGCAGACCTACCTCACTGGATAGCCTCATGTTCGTTCTCCTGCCAGAGAGCGGAGGTGGTCCGAGGACTTTGGATCCAAAGGCAATATGACAAACATCTTGATGTCTACTGTTTCGCACACTTCCTGCTCCTCTGTTAATGAACTGATCTGTGTTAAAGGAAGATAACAACAGTCCATTAATGGGTACAATGACAAACACCCTGCTGTAATATTTCTGAAAGCACAGTCCATGGGCCATATGAGCTGAACCCCCACTCCCATGACGGGGCATTATTAAGAGTGTGGATACCGAGGCCCAGTGTCAGATCTGAAATGTACCGAATAAGAATCTTGGCAGAATGGCAGAAATGTGTGATTCTAACTAGTTGCCCCATGTGGTTTTTTTATGCTATCATTTGAGAACTACTACCACAAATGTTTTTCCTCAGGGAAAATAAAGGGAAAAAGAAAAAGTAAAAAAAAACCTACTAAAAATTATGTCTTATTTTCTGTTTAAGGAAATCATTTAAATAAACCTATTTAATAAACTGAACAAAGATTTGAGCACTCTTTCAGGCATTTCCTAGAGGTTGTCATAGATAAGACATATCGCTTGCCCTTCAGAGGTCTGGAGGGAGGTGAACAGTACAACAAATAGGTAACTATTAACACATGGCAGACTAGTGGGAATGAACAAGTGATCTCTTGAATGGATCTTGAATGACTGATAAGATTTCGAGAACAAGAAATAAGGGGTACCCTAGGCAGAGCAAAGTACCCAAATAAGGACATGGTGAGGTGAAAGGGTAGGGTATGCATGGAGAAAAATGAAATTTCCAGTTTAGTAGGAGAGACTGGCTTGGTTCACATGGAAAGAACCTTCAAAGGCTAAGAGCCTATTCTAAATTTGGTAGGCAGCAGTGACTCACTGAAGGTTTGGGGGAGAGAGCGCAAACTGGTATCCCCTCACCACACCATGCACCATGCTGCCTTTGGCTTCTGGACACACAGCTAAACTACACTTCGGAGCTCTCCCTGCAGTTAGTGGACCAGTGGCTGAGTTCCAGTTAATGGAAGTTGAAAAGTGAAACGTGAGAGGTTTGAATAGCTTCTTACCCCCCAAACATCCTGCAAATTCCCCACGATCTCTCTTCCCTCCTTCTTGACAAGATGCAGACCTGGTAGAGGACTCTCAGGCCCCCACAGGGGCCACTAGAGGAAGGGAGCCTGGGTTCTGTCTAACCACATAAAAGGTCACCCCAGGAACTCCGGGCTGGACTGGGGCTGTGGGGTTCTTGTGCTGAAGGTAGCCTCTTCTGAGTAAAAGTGGCAGGTGAGGGTGGTGGCCCTTAATTCAAAACACTGCCCACAATGTAGACAGCCTTCTGCTGTGCTCCACTTGCAAGACACCAACTGGAATGTTATGATGTTGGCCCCAAGTAAGTCCACTTTTGTCCTACAGTCCTGGACATATATGGACTACTGCCACTTCCTATCTGACCTGTAGTCCTGAAACAATTCCTATTGTTACCTAATTGGTCTCGTAAGCCTGTTGTAGAGCTGGAATTTTACATGTGGTGAGTCAAAAATTACTCCTATGCGTCAGCATGAGAAAAGGCAGACAAGTTTATGAAAACGTAGCATGCATAGGAAGCTCCAAATATTTAGATCTGAGTTGAAATAATATGTGTGGGTATATGGGTATTTAGGGGTCTCTTTTTATGTTTTTAATAGATGAAGCTGAAGAGATAGGCAAAGGCTAGATTGTTGGATTGAATTGAAATAATTTTTTCTGGCAGAAGATCTAAGGTGGATCTTAGATGCAAAGTAACGAAGAGACAAATCATTCCAGTTTTCTTCAAATTCCTAAAGCTCTATCAGGTAGAAGAGAGATTCCATTTGTCTAAAGCAATCAGAACTAGTGGGGAGAATTTACTTCAAGAAGCTTTAAGTCCATCAGAAGGAGCATCTTTCTTTTTAAAGCATGCATGATTCTTGCAGTGGTGAATTTTCTGTCATTTTAAGGTGTCAAGCAGAAGTCTAGAAAGCTATTCTGAATAGGATAAGGCAGATCAAGATATCAAATGGCTCCCTCATTTCTATTTGTAACTGAGTCCTCTCTTCTGAGCCCCACTCCTGTAACCAGTGGCCTTCTTGGCCAGCTCCTCTTTGGTGTTTCAATGGCACTTCAAACTGAAAAGCTGGTCTAATGAACAGCACTACAATACATCCAATTTGCCAAGTCAATCTAGGTGTCATCCCTCCCTTCATCCTCTCCACATCCAATCCATACCCACTTCTCTCCACCTCCGCCAAGAGCACTGCAGTCTAAGCAACCATCATCCATCTCTGAATGACTGCAAACACTCTCAAGTGATCTATTATGCCCGCTCTGGCTCCCTGTCCTGTGCCCCCTCCAAAATGCGCCAGAGCTGTCTTATACAAACATAAATCTGAGCCATTCTCTTTCCTCACTTAAAACTTTCAATGGCTTCACTGATGCTCTTAGGACTAAGATAGCACTTAACATTGCCTGCGAAAGCCTTCATGTTCTGACTTCAGTTCATACTTTCCACATTTCATTATCTGCTCTCTCGACAAACTGGCTTCCTCAGTTCCTGTTTACATTCGTACAGCTGCTCCCTATGGCTCCCAGGCTCCTCCTTACCTTCTTGGCTTCTATGTTTCAGCTCACGTATCACCTCCTCAGCAGATCTTCCTGACTAGGGCAAATTCCTCCAGTACAGGTACTCCCATTACCCTTCCCTCCCAGAACTTGTCACAGTGTGAACTTTTGCACGTGATTATGGGATTCTGTGATAAGTGTGCTTCAGTAGATACAAACTCAGCGACCTGTTTTGTCACCCTTGAATTGCTAGCAAGCCTGCTGCCTGACAAAGAGTAACAGATCCTTGCTGAGCAAAATGAATGAATCATTAAATATAATGGATCAGAAAGGAAGTTGGAGTAAATGGCTAGATATTTCTAACTATGATTAGAATTCCATTTTAAGAAATATTCACCTGAAGGTTTTATGTGTGAATTGAGGAGGCAGGCTAGACAGGACTGGACAACTGCTAGGATGTGGGGGATGAGAAAGAAGGGTCAACAATGACCAAGACATTGATCTTTACGTGCACAGAGTGACGCTCAGCAGCAGCCGTGTTACGGCACTACAACCAGATGCCTACTCAGGTTGCATGTGCAATTTCCTAGTGTTAGCAAATAGACTCGGCTATGTGTTCACTTGTTTTTGTTTTTTTCCAGTCATTTATAAATATCCATTTGGAGTCAACAAAACACTGTTAGTCTCTCAGGATCAACAACACAAAGCCACAACACTCAAATTTCAGGTTAACTGGAAAAATCTATTGGACTCATTGTTTGTACCTTTAGTGATCAAGTAGAACAAATCCCAGACTACTGAATTTGTTCTCAAATATGGATCTTTCCAGAAACAAACAGCCACTGTGGGTCCTGAAAGGCTGTGTGGAATATGACACAGGCTTACATAGGAATTTTCAGTACCAAATAAGAGCTTTTTTTTTTTTGACTTCCAGTCATGGAACCATTAGGCTAGGGTTAATATCTTTCTGCTCAAACATCTTACAGGGGCAATTTCCATTATGTTTTTTTCATATTCATTTTCTATATGCAGGTTTCCCCAATTTAGGCTCCTTTGAGGAGAAAGACCCATTATTTGGTATTATATGTACTCCCATCTGCTGAACCCAGCACAACATATGGTAGACAATGGCTAAGTCTCACCAAAATTGTGAGTAGTATCTAAGATTAAAGTGAGGATTTTTGAAGCAAGGGTATATTTAAAAAAATCATCCTGACACAGTTCCAATTATACATTCAACAAAATGAACATATTAACCATCATAGCTATTTAAAACATTAAAATTCCTAAATAACTCGAATTTCTTAGAGGACTCTCTTGCTTAGCATGCATATCCAGTGTAGTAAAGATATACCCCAAACTGCTTTAATTCCCCAAATGACAGAAAATCAGATGTTATCCTGCATAAGCAGACCTGCATAGGATTTCTTTAAAGAGCAATCTACCAGTATGTACTTAAATTCGAATCTATTATAAAAAATCTTTAGAAATTTTTGTATACTTTTTTTTTAAAAGTACACCAATATCTCACTAGGCACCTCTTTAACTAATAGACCTCCTTAAATTTGTTGGTACAATTAACATACACACTCTCAAAAGCCTTTTCACTTTAATAATTCTGTTTATAATAATGTTAATTTCATAATTATCTCTATAAACATGTATCATGCTATGTATCTACTATAATAGTGTCCTAATTAAAACCTACAAGAAAAAGTAATTTAGACCTTTGGTTTCTAAAATAAAAAGTAGAAGGGATGAAGTTTCTATAAAGAGAAAAATCTTAATAAAAGAAAACACAAGCAGAAATGCATGCCTTTTAAATTCTAAAAGGAGCTCTTTTAAGAGCTGATATCAATATGCATAATACAAAGTTAAAAATCAAGATTAGATTAAAGTCATGCTCTAGGCATTTCATTTTCTTGAGTTTGTGGAAAATGAACTTGGTGTAGGTCAGAGATGTTACCATTAATTATTTTGCTATTTTATGACGAGTACATGCCTTTGTAGTTAGATTGTAAAACCTGAGGGTCTACTCTCTAATTGTCTTTTAGAAAAATAAACATTCATTTTTGTCTCAAGATTCAATGTTCTAATTATTACAGTCATTTAAGTTTGCAGGGTTTTCAAAACATAACCAGAAAAAGCTGCTGAATTTTCAATTCTAATCATTGAGGGGTCATGCTCAAGTCTTACATCTATTATCTAACAATCAAATCAGAATTAAACCTGCTACCAGAATCCAGACTTTGAATTAGATTAATTTTTGTTTTACTATACGTGTATTGTTATAAGGAATGTCAAAAATATAAAAAAGGCTGATCTAATAGAGCAATATTATTTTAGACAAGGTACTTAGCCTAAGACTTACCTTCTTCATTTACAACTGGGATAATAATAGTACTTAAATTGTGGCATTTTGTTAGATTATATGAAACAATGCATGTGACATACTATATACTGACCTTAGTAGGGAGTAATACTTAGTAAATATGTTATTAATATCATCCATCTCGGATAGCATTTAACAATTTACAAAGCC